TTCCATTACTGTAGCTCTCAGTAATCACAGCTCTTTTGAGAAAACAGTAATGTATGCAACACTTGAACGTCAAACCTAGGTAAATAAGCTTTCTGTGAAATGAAGACAGCCCTTTTATTGTGTGCCTGGAGTTCATTAAATCTATACAATCCATAGAAGCTTTCCCATTCGACAGCCACCCCATTGCTTTCTTTCCAATGCATTATTCAAAGCCAGCCTCCACAACTGTACACAATATATCTTGGCTCCCGAGATGTGCATGGAGTCTTTTGTCCATGCAAAACGTGAGTGCAAAGCTACATTGATGTCACAGGAAAAGTTTGCATACATTATTATTACAATCGGAGCAAAGAAACCCCTTTTCACATCTCTGCAAACTTCACGCAACCCATTCATTTGCGTGCCCATTGAGGTTTCTCCGTAATGGAATATAAATGAACATGCCGTTTATTCCAGCCTGCCTACACACACACACACACACCCACCCACTCCCTCCCACCCACCTGCATTCGCCAGTTGAGAACGACCCTTTCAGTGCCAGAACCATTCATTTGGTTTCTGCTCTATGAGCATCAGAATTGCAGACTTATCCATCGGGTTTGCTCAGAAGTTATATTCTGTAAAAACCTGCCCTTCTAGTTGGATCTTAAAGCAAAACCAGGAATGGTGCTCTTAGGAAGGCATTTACCCCACATGGTGATGTCGAAGGGGCCTAGCCATATTCTGGCTATATTCAGCATCGGTTTCTACGGAAATTGTAAGCTGACATCTCCGAATGTCTTTCCAAAGATGCAAAGAGCTAATAATGTGGCAGAATGTATTCTATTATGGTCACCGACAGGACTGTCTTAATGTTGTTTTAAATTGCTTGAGGAGTAATCGTTCACAGGTCCAGATTGCCCAAGACAGAGGCAAAGAACATCAAACTCACTCTTCACTGTTGCAGCACAGACAGTATTTCTACAGAAAGGACAAGTGTGCAGGATACTGCGAAATCAACCACGCACTAGGTCAGCCGTCAAGTGAAGAAATACCTCCGTTTCTAAAGCTCTTCACCACCCCAGGCAGTGCACCAGGGCTTCTCTCAGATCACATATTTATTCATGTGTTTCAGGAGAGATGGAAAGAAACGCACAATGATGGCACCTGGCAAGAAGTGGCTGTGGGCCTTACCTGTTCTTCTCCATTTCATTGTGCGATGACCTGCAGAAAGGAAAAAAAAGAAAACACATTACAATTAACATTAACTCCGTCGTCCAAATTCAAAACGGTGATTTCTCACTCAATACTACAATAACGGAAAAGGCAGGCGTTGAAACGCTAGGTAAAAGCTATAAAAGTACCCCCTGACATTATCAAGACACTGCCATTAGATGTTCGAGACATAGGCAATCAATAAATTAGTTAAACAACATAAGAAAATCGCTGGAGGGACCATCATCAACACACAAACGTTGCTAATTCTCTTTAATGATGAAAAGAGGCATCATAACAGCAAACATGAGCTTGGCTAAGAAACACTGCAGTAAAGCATCACATGTAACCAGGAGGTGACGCGTGGGTGTCAGGCATAACTTCTACGCAAACCCAGTTCAGAGGCCATTTTACATTTTGCAAAGACCAGGCAGCCTCAGAATTTGTGGTGCTGAAAACCGAAAAGAGGAAATAACATAATGCTCGGTAGCCGTTGTGGGTGCACAGACAATGCCGTTTCCCCAGTTTCAGACAAGAACCTGCATTGCCCAGCTGCGCCATGTGGAGGAGATGACATCATCCCTCGCCTCTCCATCTGCAAACAGGGCAAAGCCACCCAATCACGGTGCCCGGGAGGCGGGCCCTTCTGCTCACTCACCAGCAGAGGAGTGGGCTCCGGCAGCTGCCTCAGGGAACATGTCAGACTCAAAGGACTGGCCCATCACAGGCTGCATGGAAACAACTGGCTTTGAAACCAACGCCCTCATCAAAACCAAAGTTTACAGCACTGAAGCAGCAATGGAAGGGATTACAGGAGCACTGCAAGTAGACAGGCCTGATATTTCCTTTGGCTCTATCTTATCCTGACACTATAAACCCCAGGCAAGCCTGAAGGTAAACTTAGCAACCGTAACCAAAAACAAACAACTGAGGGCTGGTGTAATTTAACAGCGGTGGGGCTAGTTTACTTATAAGCGTGGCCTGCAAGTCCATCGAGTGACTGTCTGCAGCATCACATGGCTTTGCAATCTGGGATC